AAATGTTTTGCAGTGCTCCATCCATTATTTTATTTATTTTTTTTTTTTTTTAAGAGGCTTCAACATCTGAGGTTATTAGCCATTGTGTACATGTTTTGTGTAAGTTACATTAATAATTAAATATCAAAGGTTACAATATTTTTTAAATAAGAATAATGAAATACAAAAGTGTTGATTAGATATTGTTTACAACGTTAATTTTTGTAAGGAAATTAAAAATTTTTATGGTGTTGTCTTCATGGAGAGCTTCTTCTAAGTTGTTGGGTATTGATAAAGTACTTCGGATGTTTTGTAGGTCTGGGCAGTCTAGGATGATGTGTTGGATGGTTAGGCCTTCTTGGCATTTATTACATATGGGTGGTGCATCTTTGCTGATTAAGAAAGAATGTGTCAAAGAGGAACCATCCATTATTATTTACAAACATTTGGTTAAATATCCCTATTTTTTTTTCTAGTATTCAGTTTCTACCAGCTTATTACATTTTTGTACTTTCAAGTGTTAAACATTTTTTAAACCAACATCCTCTAAACCAAGCACAGTTAAAAATTATCAAAATGGGTGGGGTCCAGTGTCTACAAATTGCCATCAAAGATTTTTCTTTAATGTGATTTTGTTCAAGGGTCATAGTTAACCAAACACTGTACAGGGTGTTTAATAAGTTTGGTTGGTAAAATATGTTAGATTTAATATTCTTTTAGGACAATTTTATTTTGGTTTACTTGTTTTTTGCTACCTGAAATCACTTGTCGAACGGTTGAAAATTGATCGTGAGTAAATCAGAAATTTAAACGCGGAATACAAATAAGAAAAAAAAAATAACACTACACATTGCAATAACAATAACGTGTTAAAACAAAAAAACATTTGCCGGTTATTTACCGTTTACTTAAGTGTTTTTCATGCTAAAGTATAAAGTTTTGTAGGTCGTTCTGTGAAATATCACAGTACGACGTTTATAAAAAATATAGTTCAATTCACTGTACACCTGGCTACTATAGAGCGTAAGTTATTCTTTTTGGTCGACCGGGTTTAATTTTAAAATTACTTATAGTACTCTATAACTAACTTGCTACTTTGAAATTTTCTTCGAAATTATTGTTTTATTAAAGTATATTTCAATAGTTAACTATGCACCAATATTAAATGAGCCAGATAATTAGAAATTCGTTTTTGATATACTTTGTTATTTCACAATAATAAAATACAAATAAAGTATCTATAAAACATTTAAAAAAAACTTTAATTCGTAAGAAACATTTTTATGTCGGTAGAATACAATCGACAGTTGAAATATATGCTAATATAATAATAATTTTGAATAACTTTTTGAAGTAAAAATTAAGAAATAAAGTTTTATAAATAATTAAAACATTTCTTCTGGTCGACAAAACGAATAACTCTTGCTCTCTATAGTAACTAGTTTTGTAGTGAATTAAAAAATATAACATCACAAAGCTACACCTGAAAACCCATTGCCTTTTTCATAGTGTATGTTAAGTTATCTCACTGCGCCTTTAATTATATAACCGAAATTGTTATACAAAAAGAACTGTTATACATTATAAATTGTTGTATTTGGATATTTTTCCATTATATTAAATCATATTGTTTTATTTCGATATCTTTGTTTTTATAATCAGTATTGAATATTTGATGACTTTTAATAGCTCATAAGAACTATTTAAAACGTTTTTATTAGGAACGGTTAACTTTAGTAGTTTACGCCAACCTGTTGTCATATAGTGTAGAAACTTTAAATTTAAACGACCAACGTTTATAATAGGCTGATAAGTTACAAAATAATCTGTGTGAGAACTTTGAGTGGTCAATTAGGAAAATGTATTATATTATAATAGAAATCTTTAAAATAACTCTGATATCACAAAAAAATAAAATGTCTTACGATAAATTAGAACAATGTATTAGGCGGTTTTTGTGTTGCGATGGTTTCTTATATAAAAAGCATTTTTTTTAAAACTACATCATAATTTATAAATCATAAAAGATAATTTAATTTTAACCTTTCGACGGGCGATCTTATTTTGTTATTATAAAGAAACAATGAGATAACATCACTCAGTGTTGCCACCCACCCGCCGGAACCGGTAATTATATTTTTTCTAAATAATACATTCGTTTATAAAGCTTACAAATATATGTATATTTTTTAAAGAAAATAATAACATTATAAAACATGTGGGCTGGGTCAGGTTCTCTATAATAGAAGCTAATTTTTTAGTGAATAGGAAAACAAATAATTTCAAACCATTTCACTTTTTTTTTAACACCATACTGTGAGATTTGTGGTATTTTTATTTTTCTCAGTGAACCTTTCTGTTAAACTTGGAAACTAATAACACGGTCTCGATTTTATTTAATATATTAAAGGAGAAAAGCTATAGTGCAGAAGTTTTCTTCAGCTTCTTCGTCACGTTTTAAATGTTCAACTTTTAATGACATTAATGCGGATTGATCAATTCTGGTTATTAGCTTGAGAAGTATTTCTTCTTTAATGTAGCCTAATACCAAATAAAACCTAAAATTCCACCTTGAAAATCGAGCTCCCAGATTTCCTCGTTTTTCATATTATTAGCTATTGCCGTTTTGCAATAAATAATTTTTCACCGGCCAAATATCAGCTGTTGTTTTTGGAAAGGCTTCTATAATATTGTAATCTCTATAAACATGGTAAACTTTTCTTACCTAAGAGTTGTACTCGGATAATGCTAACGTTGACAAAGTGGAAATATTATAATGCGTTTACCCTCCGAGGCAAACGGATAGGAAACTTTAAATGCCATTGACGTTACCCAAAAGGTCCCCAAAAGGTCCAAGCGATGAGTCAAAACTAGGGCCTTACCGGAACGTGGTCGCTTATAATTTCCTATTGCGGTCACGCAAGCCTTGGTCTTGGTCGTGCCCATTGGCATACAATCCAAACTTGACTAATTTATAATGTATTCTAAGTATCAAAAACCATAAAACGTTGGCTTAATCTACCTATGGACTTTGGTGCAATAATAATAATTCATATATTTTTCACTTCCCGTTCCAAATTAATACATTCAAAGAGAATGGAAAAAAAAGTCAAACGTATTTCGTGCGGATAATTTGAAAAAGTATTTCAACATTGACGACAATGTTAATTAATAATAATTACCCGAAAGACAATCTAGACGACTATGAATTGATAGCTTAACAGTACACCTTCTTAGCAAAAAAATATTTTCAGACATATTTTTCCCTCTTGGAATAGAACTTTACGGTGCCCAATTTATACTCGCAGACAGGAAAGGACTTTCTGGCGGAAACGAACGATCCGGTCGAAAATGGAAAATAATAACGTTGAAATTACTTTTTAATGGATTTACAATCCTACATAAATAATGTAGCGTAAGTATGCGGCTTTTTTTTTTTTTTTGCTTAACGCATTTCAAAAGCATATCCACACGACACCTACGTTTTCCCAAAACAAATGGAATTTATACCGTTTTATAAAATATGACGTGTACGGGTTCAACGAACACGTGTAAATCTTAGAACGAAGAGGGGAAGAAGCTGAAGACGGTAACAATGCTGCAGTAGTGTTTGATAAAGTTGTTTCTAGTGTATTAAAATAGCCTTTACAAATCTGTATAAATATTGATGAAAGCCAGAATTAAAAGTACCATTTTAAGGCTTTCGATTGAAATATGCAAGTATTTATATGTGCTAAAAATGGCCTACAATGTATTTTATACACTTTTTCAAATTACTCTATCCATATCCTTTTTTGATGAAAGCAAAGTAAGTATGTCAGCGTTACTTGTCTGATTATTGTCTAAAAAAAACATTAGATACGCGAGCGAACAAATTTAGGTTTTTTTCCGCGATATTTTCTTATAGTAAACAAAAAATATATAATACATATTAATCTTGACTCGTCAATTCAGAATTCTATAAAAAAAAATCTATATAATTTGCATAAATTTTGAACACTTTAAGTAGGTTTCACAGAATATGACTGACATTATGCCTACGGTCGTGTTTGATAAATTAAAAAGTTATGAAAAATATGCGTTCTCAGTAAATAATTTAGTTTATTTGAGGGTTAATTTATCTTATATTATTTTTATTTATTTATCTTTATTATTTTTAATTATGAGATATTGGACAAGTCCATACTTTGATCAATTGACGTCAATTGTCTTTAGTAGAATTTTGTGCCAGCCATTTTCTTTGCACAATGGATGAAAGGATAATATTATTTATTATAATAATATTTTCGTTGGAAAATCAATTTTTACTGTACCCTGACTTGTAATTATACGATATCATTATGAGAACTACAGCAAAGTGTCGCCTACGAAAAGCGACGGCCAGATTGGTAAAAAATAACTATCGTACAATCAGGAAAAAAAAATTATTGTTTACTGTTAAATGTCAAAATTTCTTTTAAAACACTATTGCTAAAATAATATGTTGAAATAACAATATGATTTACAATTTTTTTTACTATTTGTTTCATCGTTTTGGTTAAATTTTGTCAGTTTTACAAGTTTTTTTACTTAACTGGATATGACCACGTCATTAATAAAATTTAAGAATAAAACGGTTTTAACAATAATTTTTTTACTCACAAATATATAATTTCTCAGCAAAATGTACATAATAAACAAAATACATAATCAAATCAAATATAACAATAGTTCGAACTTAAAATTAATATCTGATGTTTTTTTTTTCGTCTCGTTATTACAAATTATTATGCAAAATTGTACATTTTTTTTAAAATTTTAAATGTAAAGAAATATATATTTTTCAATTTTTTTCCCCAATACAAATTTTGTTCTAAAATTATCCTAAAATATTGACTATTTTTTATTCTATATTTATACATTATACTTTTTTAATAATCACAATATAATTAAAAATTAAAAATAAAACTAATAACATTCTACGGCGTTTGAAATATATGTTGTTACTATAAAAAAAAAAAAGATAACATGACAATATAACGTTTCCAAGCGGAGTCTTTTTCGGTTAATTTGTCGATTCAGTTTTTGTTGGGTTTTTTTTTTTTGGAATGTTTTAATACAATTGCAACTATTTATGTAAAAGTGAGAAACAACATCGAATTGGTTACGCAAAAGAAAAAGAAAAATGTTTATATCGGGAAATCAACAATAATTGGTTTAGGGAACGTGTGTTGAAAACAAAAATGGTCTGTAAGTGAAAAAGTGTGAGCACTGTGTACAAAAAAAAAAAAGAAAACAATAATAAATTATTACTATAATAACGGAACAGACGAAAAATATAACAGTTCAAGTATAAATATAATATATCATAACTAATAAAAAGTACGTATACGATTGGGTAATGGCGGATTGGTACACAGGACGTGTGGTCAACTGTCAAATTAAAAAAACTATTCTGGTAACAAAATATAATAACATTGTTCGGTGAAACTAAAAAAAAAAACAAGTGGTTATTATTTATTTGTATACACATTAAATTTGGGGTGGACAGACTTAGAATACAATTTTTTTTTTTTTTTAAAAAGGTGTTGTTCGTCTTAGAAAGTGCAGTTCTTGCAGCACTTTGACGTTACGACACAATCTGATGAAGCGAACCCTATAGCACTAGGCGTGCTACCGCGACACATGCAATGCGTGTTATATACAAATATTCAGCACCTGATTATGCTTAAAACTAAAATTGCAAAATATTATAATTTAAACATATATATATATATTTATTGTTTGCGAGTACCAATTTCATGTTTGTTTTTTTTTTCTATAGAAAATAAATAAAAATATAATTTAACTACAAAATTAGTAATACTTAATGAATAGTTTAAAAAATATTTTTTTATAAAGGTGTAGTTTAATATAAACAATAATATAATATACTATTTACACGAAATACTTTATAATAAAAATAATATCTAAAACAAAATATGCAATACAATAGTAATAATGTCGTTTGTTCTCTGAACCGTATAATATATTACACGTTGTGCCGGACGTTTTTTTGTTTTTATAATAATTACTGTTGTTTTTCTTATTTTCAATAATAAACAAATTAAGGAATGTAGACCACAAAAAAAAAAAAATGGACTTATTGGGTTAGTTCTTTTTTGCTTTTAAAAAAAAAAAAATAATAATAATAATTTTGAGCAAAAGAAAATGTTTACATTATATATAATTTTTTTTTTTTTGTATTATTATTAAATTTACTTTTCTAGATAATATATATAAGTATATATATATGTTCCTGAAGTACACAAGACCCTGGTAAATATAATATTATGAGCACAAAGATTACATCGTTATTACTATTTTGTATTCACATTGTACGTGTGATTACAGCGAGCATGCTGTACAATATGTAATACGTTATCATTATGGTATTGACGATGGACAACGCCACGCGGACACGGAAAGACGAGGGGAATGGTGAATATTATATTAATTTTTACATACAATTTAATGTAAACGATAAAATAAAAAATACTATCATAATATTACGTAGCGAAATCTATGCGATCCCACAGGAAGTCCATGTTGGCCGGCAACTTGAAATCACTGTCCGGCGCTTCACCATTAAATAGGTCGGCCAACGGTTCCGAGGAAGGGGGCGGCAAGTCCAAGGAATCGAGCCAATCGGTGTCCACTTCCATCAGGTCGTCGTTGCAAACATCCATGGCGAATGGATCGTCCATATGAATGTCAAATTCGGGCGGTGCAGTATTCTCATTGGACACTGCGGTGTCGTGTGCAGCCGAGGCTGGCAGTTCACCGTTCCTGATCAGTATCTCCAACACGTCGTCCATCATTTGACTTTTGGAAACGTTGTTCCTGCCGTCTTCGAGAGGTTCCTGTAAATTATTAACGTGTAAGGTAAATATTTGAGCGAGTACATTTTTATTTTGACGTTTGAACACTTACATTCACGTTTTGGAACAGTTTTGTATCGTCAAACACCATCGGCAGACTGTCAATATCGATGAACGCTTTGTCGTCTTCTTCTTTAATTTTCTGATTATTGTTGTTGGTCGTTTCTGTCAAATCCACTTTGTCGGTTACGTGGGTCGTCAGTTTGCTGTCGAATAATTTGACATCATCGATAACCATGGGCATGTCATTCACTTCGACTTTAAACTCAGTTTGGATGATCGGAACCGTAGTCTTAACGTTGTTGTTGTTGTTGCTAGTGTTGTTGTTGTTGTTGTTGTTTACAACCAAGTTGGGCTGAACGAAAGTGCCCAAAAAATTTGGCAGCGATGTCGTCCTAGAGGAGTAAAGAAAAAGATGATTATTCATTATATTGTATTATTACTAGGGTACATAAAATGTAAAAAAGTGTTTCCCCATACCTTTGGCCATTGCCACTGTCCAACTGATTCAATATATTGGCCGCCTGCACCCTGTCCAACACTATCGTATTGCTGTTTCGCCTCTTGATTGTGTCCGAGTTGGCGTTGTTGTTGTTCTTCGTCAAATTATTATTATTTGTCGTCACGGTCACTTGTTGCTTCTGTTGTTTTAGTTGGTTCAGCTGCTGCTGCTGAAGGAAAGCTGCCAGATTTGCTTTGGCATTGACCGGCGGTTGAGGCTATAATCAAAACGAATATACAAAAACTGTTAGAATACACAACAGCTGGTGTTTGGCACGTTTTTAAACAGTTGGCTAGAACCATTCCCAAAAACATGGCCTATAAGTTTAACCCTAGCGACCCAGGTCTATGCCTTCGGGGTGCACTGTACCTGGAATGTTTGTACCCTGGACTGCTGCTGTTGTTGCAATTGCAGCTGAGAGTTGAGCAGTTGCTTTTGTAGCTGTTCGATGCGTCTCTGCTGTTCGCGTATGATACGATCCTCTTCGGGCGTATTCTGGTTACCGGACGACGGGAGAGGCGGTGGTGGTGGCGGAGGAGGTGGCGGAGGCGACGTGGACGACGACCTAGGAGGGCTGTTAGGATTTGACTGGCTGCCGGGCGACATCATACTGGAAGAATCCGAGTTGTGTTCGGCAAACGACCGTAACCTCTCGATCAACTGCGGTTTAGGACCGGACACTGGCAAATTGCGTTTTTTTAGTTCAGCTTTCAAATCGCTCACTGCAACAAAAAAAAAACCCAAGAAAATTGTAGCGCTCTCTAAATTACACTCAAACTCGGTCAAGTAGCATCCCCCAGGACAACCCTGGCCCCGTTTGGCGTTAGACGTCAAACACAGACCACCGAGGACAATGCACTCCCCCCGAGGGGTACTCAAACTCAGTCTGTGTCTGTGCACACTACCTTTCAAGTCGTCGAGGTTCCGCAACGATCGGGGTTCGATGGTTTGAGACTGTTGCTGCTGATTGCCGGCCATCTGGGCGGGAGACGACAGAGTCGAAGTGGTCGACGAAGTAGACGAAACGTTCGACGACTGTTCTGCCACGGATGTGGATTTGTGCGGCGGGGCAGGCAGTATGAGTTGAGGATACTGTAAAATGCGGCAGAACAACCACAGGTGTTAATTACCTTTGTAGAGTTACTACACGCGGTAAAGTCGTCTTACCTTTTGTTGCCATTCCAACTGCCACTGCAAGAACAGCTGTTGTTGCTGCAACAGCAGCTCGTACGACGTTTCAGCCGAACTGGAGTTTTGGTTTTGGCTCTTGTGCGCACTGGGAGGACCCTTGTACTCGTGGAACTTGATCGTCCGGGTCTTGGCCTGCGACTTACTCTTGCTCTTCTTACGGTTCTTGTCCTTACCGGGAGCCGGCTGCTGGCTGTGCACCATGGGCAGCGACGACGGCATCGGGGGCGGCACCGGAGGAGGAGGCGACGCCACTGAGCTCATGGGCGATAAACTAGACGTGGAAGAGCCAAGGGGCGAGGATAGGAGCGCAAACGTAACGATACCGGCGTTGGCAGCGGCCGCCTCTATCATATCGTACGCCGGCCTGTGGTTGGGCAGAGGCGGTGGAGGCGGCGGGGGCGGGGGTGGCGAACAAGAGCTGCCGGCACCGCCAGAACTCTGCGAGTCCTCGTCCAAAGTCAGGTATTGGTCGGGGTGTTCGGGTTTGATCTTCTGTCCTTCGCTAGTGGCTTTGAACTCGATCTGACCCTCTGGACAGAAAAAACAAGACGAAAACGTTAAAAAAAAAAAAAAGGCTGAAAGTATTAGCAGAGTTAAGCTGAAATCCCAAGACAAATCGGTTTGAAATATAATTTTTTACAAGAGAGGGAGAGAAAGTTTACACCCTTTGACCGGAGGAGTTGTCGAAGGTTCCAAGCCACTCCTCTTAGTCACGTCTACAACTTTGGTCTTTGACGGATAAGTACCTTTGACGGCCCTCTCGATGGGTTCGTCCGTGTGCAGTATATTCTTTTTGATCAGCTCCAACGGGCCGGGCCTGTGGGCCAATTGAGCGTTCAGCGAGTCTGCTAAGCGGCACTTGACTAGCATGCGCTGACGTTCGGCCAGCGATCGGTCCACGTCGCCGACGTCTTCTAGAATGTGCTGTCTGACCAGCTGTTGTTTGTCGGGCCTCTGTTGAATTTTGGCTTTCAACAGATCACCCATCTTCGCCCGCTCCAGCTTCTGTCTTTGTTCATGGAAAGCTGGTGGACTTTTCAAACCTGACCACAGAGAATACAATAAAAAATAGGTAACGACTCGTCCCGTTACTGCGTTATCGTGACTTTTACACTCACATGGCATAATTCCTTGAGCTACCAATTGATTGATGGGTCTCCTCAACATCAACTTGACTTTGAGAGCTGAAAAGCGAAACGGGCAAAATGAATAAACAATTTTAACATATTTCACGTGTATTAAAATATATGTGTGTAAGACGTTATAAATGTGTGATTATAATAGTATTGCGCTACACGGTCGTAAATTAATCGCTGGGAGTGTAAAAAAAATAAATTAAAAATATAATAACGTAATAAGAAAGGGAAGAAAAAAAATGTGCTGTGTAAACTACCGGACGACAACCGAGTTTTTCTATTTCGGGAAGGCGCGCGGGATTAAGTCTGTCGCGAGATATTAATTTGAAGTCGAGCACTAGACCGGTGTCGGTTCGAACAGCAAGAGAGAGAGATAGGAGACAAAAAATTATAACGCCCGCGCCCGTGGAAACGTTGAGATTTTTACAGCGGTGTGCGAGAATGTGAATTAAAAAAAAAAAAAAAAAACGTGTCGTTGTGGTGATATGATAGGGCCGAGCATTGTGCGGATGCCAAACTGACGAGAGAGAAAAAAACATGTACGCGAGTATAAATTATAGAACTTCGCCCAAATGGGTGGAAAACCACCGAATCACACATAGGACGGGACTGCTGCACTAAAAGAAGTGACTAGCAGGCCCTTCGCCAAACGATAATTCGACTTTTATTGGTAATTATTATTATTACAACGCCGCCGAAACAACACTGTGCATTGCTGTGTGATAGCAAAAAAAAAAAAATCCCCAAGTTGAGGTGACACGGTCAATTGCCCCTGGCGGAGACGGGACGGCTGGCAATAAAAAAACAGCATTTATGATCTTTATCGCTTTGTTTCTCCTGGCCGCACCTACTACACACGCGGGATCCGAAAGACCGAAAAAATTATCAACGGTTTCACGTGTTAATATCACCTACTGTGGTCACCTAAGCAAAGGTCAAAGGCTCGCAGGAAACAACTGTATAATTGTTTGAATCGAACACGCTTCGGCATTTAACGCGCATCGAGTTTATAATATGGTTTGCTTGTCAAGTTCAAGCAAAGCTATTTTTTTAATTAACAAAAGTCACGGTAAAAAGTTTATTCAAAATTGTATCTTAAAAAAATGTACACATCTTTATTTTAAAATTGAATTTACAAAAAGTTACATTTTACAGAATTTTTAAGTGTGACACTACAGACATTAATTGGGTTTACTGATTTTAACGTTATCGGTTATCACGAAGAGATTTTTACTAATCTGAAATAGATTATGGTATTTGAAATTTGTAACTCGTCGTAATCTTGTTACTAGTTAGTAGTTAGGGTTATTTTTATTTTTTGATTCCAAAACAATGCGACTGCTAGCAGTTCAATAATTTTATTTTAAGTGACCTTTTTATTATATAGTTGAAAAAATCAAGAAACGGCTCACGAAATGACCGTATGAAATTCTCTAAGAACTACTAAAATCTACTTAGTTTATAATGAACTTGTGATAAACAGACGACAAAATTCACTTTTTCAAATCTAAACTAATCCAGCTTAACCCGAATACATTCAAGTTACCTACTATAACACCTACCAATTTCTTCTCCGGTTTACCCTTAATTGCCTTTTAGTTGGACAACGTTCGAGGAGAATATTATTATTTTTTATAAATCTATCGGTATGTTGGATCTTTAAAATTTGTTTTTTCATCCAGGCGTAGGAGGTTTTAATATAAAAATATATCCCCGTTGTTTGACCGACGGTGACATTCACGCTTTCAATGTAAAAAGCTCAAAAAAAAAAAAATAATAAGTTATTACATAATATGACAGCGAATGCGACTAACGAACACAATAGTGGGTGATAAGTGTCCGCTTTAATTTACTGCATGTTTTCACTTAACCGTGCAATTTTTTAATATATTTATATAAAAAAAAAAAGTGTCCAGTTAATTGTTGCTATAATTAATCGGGCCATTAGCCGTAGGCGACTGTAACATTAGATAAAAAGTTATATTAATTACTGGACGACCTCGGTGATGCCAAAACCAATATTAGCCGTTAGCGATGCAAAAAACTAACAAACAACTTATACTCGCCAGACCACTTTCTGACATCACCTCGAAAAAGTGTTCACTTATGGTCCAACTATGGTGAACTATGTAAAAATAATAATAGTGTTTTAAATCACAACAAAATACAACATATACATTTGCAATGCACTAATGACCGAGCTAATAATTATTACACATGACACATGTTTAACCTTTAAATTAAAATTTTGCGAAAAATTGCCAATACCTAACTCCTTAATAAATATGAGGTTCGACGTCCGCTTAATTTTTTAAGGATTTATCAATTATGTTTAAAATTATCTTGACTCTTGAATACTATGAATATATGGAGATGCTTTCGAATCACTAGTTATAGTCGACATTAAGGAAAAACCTTGCTGTGCGGTAACGGCAGAGAAACTATGTGTCCATGTGAAAATAAAACGCCGGCGGCAATGGGCACGGTAGAAAAAATCATATCAACGGATAGTCCGAATGTTTGCCGAGCAAGACGTCTATTTTTATTGCATCGTCTTCGGTATACACGTGCATATAAAGTACCCGCTTATTTATATTATGCCCTTTATGGCAAGCTAGTGCGCGCGTTACAAAGGCGACAATCGGCATTTTTCCTCGTCTCCAGACACTCGGCAAACGTGCTCCGACAACACCGCAGGTCAAGGCACGCGTTTCTTGACAGCCAATTCAGTAAGTGGAATCCACCGGCGGGTCGGTTACGCAGGAAAAAATATCAGAATCCTTTTGCAGATGTCTTATGCGCCGAGTGGGAAAAAGCGGAATGTCTAAGACGATCGATTTTCCTTAATGCTAAGAACCTAGGAGTTGAGGAGATTCACTACCTATGTCTGAGATCAAAATTGCTGTATGGATGGGCGATTTTCGGGACCACACGGTTGTTTCCAGGAAAATTGTAGAGCTTGAGAAATGAAAGCCATAGTGAGTTGCACCCAAGCACACGGTTTAATGAATTGCATATCAACTCGCAGTCTAGTTCATGAAAATATCAGTTTCACTAATTGGACGCAACATATATTGTAGATATTAGAAATGGTCTTGGAATACTTTGCGACTATTTCCGGCGCTTAAAAAAGATATGGCAAACAAGTCCAACGTGTCTTAATGGCCTATTGGATTGTCTAGGAACGAGCAAGGTTTCACGCGGTAAGCGGATACCTACGGGATTTGTGTTTGACACGGTCGTGGGTAAGACGACACACAACCGAAGACTTTGAGCCGAAAAATCTACAAACGCACCTTCGGGTTAGGTTATACAGCATGTGTGCATTATAATCTGGAATATGGGCGGCCGCCGTCTGGCAGTAGTTGGTTTTCGAAAACGAAAAACTCTAGTATCATTCGAAATAATTGAGCGACGACTTTCCTTTTCTCTGCGGTCATCGTGTAAATCAAACAATGACTGGAGGCAACTAACAAATGAGCTGCGCTAAAACTATGGCGATCATACGTTTTAAGCATTACAGGATCAGACGCACAACTAAACCGGAGTACTAAGCGAGACTCGTAGTAACACCATATTTGAGATGTGGCAAAATTAGCAGCCACAAAATTTCAAACGAGAGTCTAGTAAATCTTGCATCTGTCTCGCTCGCCATTGTTTCAAACGACATATCTTGACTCCTATTTTTTTTTTGTCGTTCCACGTCCACTCGCCATACCACTTAAAACGTAAACCAAGGCGCCACCATAGACCTCAAAGGGTTGCCACCAGTGCCACACGCGTGTCTTGGTCATGTGTATACTAACCGGACAGACGTGTGCTGACGGCAATAATAAGTAATAAACGTTGTAATCATAACAAACCGCGATTTATTGCAACGCAAACGCGTTTACTATTATCGTTTTACTGCGCGCGTGCCGTTCAAAGCATATCACATACTATAATGTATACAGTCTAACGGCCGTTGCATGTGCATGCGCTTTGGAGGTTAATCGCCGTGTTAATGCGTTTGTAACGTGCACAAGGCAATACACAGAAGACGGTTGTGACGGAATCCGAGAGGACTGCGGCAGAGATGCCATCACAACCACCGTAGTAGCCGATGATATTGTACTTGGATTATAATTCGAATTTCGAACGACCCTCCCTCCCCTCTAGATTCAGTGCCGGGGCACAAATCCAACGACTTCTTGGCGGCAAACAGTTTGCGTGCGCGTGTCTGCGCCGTTAATTGCGTTTTAATAATAATTAGACGCAATCGTGATTGGCAGTGTCGCGGCCAAGACGGAACGATACCGGACCGGCACGGGAGGAACACGAGGTGGGCGCCCGGGCGATCATTAAAACATGTAAAGATAATTAAAGAATATTTTATCACGCCTGAAGTGTTTGGCAGTGGACGCGAGAAAGCACTTTCGTCGAGTGTGTCACGACGACTATCAAAGCCAGCGAGCACTCACACACACACACACAAGCAACTGCTTCAAAGCATCACAAACCACGCGTTATCCGTGTTATCGTCAACATCGTTTTCGAGCACAAAATGATAACATGATTTCACAACACGTGCAGTAGTCCGAGAACACACTCAATTTCCGAATCGAATGAATCCCGTTTGAATCATTCACTAGTCAGACATTTCGTGAGTCGTCCTATTCCAAAAGTCACAGAGTCAAATTTTTTAAGAAATTCAAAAGTGTAGGTTTTTTTATTAAACGGAGAGCAAGGAAACGAGCGGTGAAGTAGTTTTGTTCCTAAACTCACTCTATCCTTCTGAAAATAAAGCTGTTATATTTCATTACGGTAGTGTTACAATGTTGTGTCGTAACTAACAGTTTTTCTTGAATATACTTCAAATTGAGATGGTGTGGACATTTTTGAACTGAACGACTTAAGTATGGATTTCGTTTGTTTTCCGGAAAACATAAAAAGCACACTTAATAGTTTGCGCAGTGCTTGGTATACACACGGCTGTGTTCTGAAATCGGACAAACGTGTTTGTCGGCTGGTGTACCATTCGGCAAGGTTTTGGCAAAGTAGATCACGGGTTGTTGGCACACAGCTTTTGGATTGACGACGCCGTGGAACATATGAGAAAAAACACGTCCTAAATCGTCATAACGGTTTTAACTATCTCATAAACCGACGCGACCGCTGCCAAGTCGGACGGTTCGACCGAGTAAAGGACGACCATCGTCGTTTATCCTAGGCGCTAAAATCCAGCCGAGAGACATCAGACAGTTGCCCCTTCAAAAATAATTCCACGCAAGAACGATTGCAATAATTGTATATAATATCAGTGACGATCGGCGATCTTCCGGGGTCGGGTTCTTATGGGCCGAATTAAAAACGTGATAAAACAATTATTAAGCGTTTAAAGTAGCGGTACCCGAGTGGACAAGGTGTACCACGAGTAGGCGAATATAGATCTGTGGTATGTGCGAGTGTGCAAGTAAGTCCCATCCCGAGGGGGGTCCGCGTGTACGAGTTCAGACCGATGTTTATCTAGCAAGAAAGGTTAAGCTGTTATGCGGTGATGGTGTGCCTACGGTATGGTTCGCCCAAGGTTGGTTTTAATGAAACCGTATCTGCTAGGTTATCGGTGACGGCTTCTTCGATTGTGTTTTCGGGATTATGTCACAACTGCACGATCGCAGCTGCACGCCGCCTGCACCTGACGCCAACTGCTATCTATACCCACGCGACCGTCCAAGCGACAGTTTTATTACCAACCAGCCGGTAGCCGAATGTGCTAGAGCATAATAATCCACGTCTTGTTCAATGAATTTGCACATTTCATTCACTTCCGCGAAACGTATAAAACAAAATCATACCCATCGAAGCAAGACAGGCAATCGGGTTTTATAGCGCAATAAAAACACAACGCTTTCGACTAGCTCTGCCCAAGCACCGGTTTCCACTTGACCGCAGTCAAGAGCGTAGGAATTTTCGGGTATCTCCAAACTCAACGGAGCGTCTAATCACCGCCTATCTACCTGGGAGTAAAGGATAAGCAATTATACGACCTTAAGTTAAAATTTGTACATTTATATATTTACGCAGCATAGAGCCATCTATGTGTTTTCCTTTAATTTGAGCGCACGGCAATGCGCCAGGCTAAGTTCCAGCAATGACAGCGTGTCTTTACACGAATCAATTCACCCAGTTTTTCTAACCCACATATCTCTGTTTCCTCTTAAGATAAGCTTATGAAATTTGAAACATAGATTAAGCTCCAGTAGCTTAGGATACTATAAAAAATTGAGCCCTTAATTGTAAGCCTTTTCAAAAGATAGATGTCACTACTTTGATAGGCTAGCTTTTTTGGGAGGGGATCTGGAACTTGGCCCTTTTTCACTGTTAGGTTTTTATTGTTTACTATTTCCAGCTTTGATAACACAGTCAAGTTCTTTTGTTCGAACAATCTTTAGTACATACTTTAGAAAAAAACATTACATCAAGAGTTTATCTACATATTTATATAAGTGGACATTTTTTGACGAAGAGTTTGCAACTTAGAATTATGCATTTTTATAAAGTCCCAATCTCTAGTAAAGAACTGAATATTTTAACCATCAACCATAAAAATATTAATTTCTTTACTATATATGATATATATAACCAAAAGTCGCTTAAAGTTTTTTCCAGCCCAATCGCCATCTATTTTAAAGACATAACTTAGTCTATACATTTATTTATAGGTATAGATGCGCTAAAACTGGTAAGCTTCCCAGAAAAGTGAACTTCCTAGACGTGTTTTATGTGCTGGAGGAAAAGCTTGGTGTGGCGCCCTTCTCTTAGTGCAGCGCTATAGATATACAGTCATGTCTTTTATGAAAAATGTATCATTAACTCTTTCACCCCAAAAGGAGTTGACAATTTTTTTGTTTTTCGGAAGTAGTTTTTTATAGTCCCAAAAAATGTGAAGATTTTAACCCAGGATGCAACGCAATATAAGACCTGATCATGCGGATATAGGGGTGCTGTGTTTTGTAGTTTTGTTATGTCGACACTGTGGAAAAATTCGATCCCACCGAGGCCCGTTGCCGGGAAAACGGCGGCGGATGGAGCGTTTTATTTTAGCCGTCGTTCCAGCCGCACACGAGACACGACTACGACGCCACCGTTAGCAACTCGTCGCCTTATTTATATTCAGGGAATCGGTGTTGTTTATTTGGGTCATCGACATGTCAACCTCCTCGAGATAGTTAAAAACTGGCATCCCGGTAGTTTCTCTCGAGGCCGACGATTATCCGAGATGTTACACGATAAATTACACGGATGTAAAGTTTTTTTTAAAAAAAAAAAAAAAGGCTAAGCACATTGTGGTGTCGCGGGTGGAAAAGTTATTAATCGCCGGAGATAAATAGGCCGCCGTCGCGTCGCCGAGGAGCAAGTGGCGATACAGAAGGGATCGTTCCTAATAGTGTGTGCGTGTATTCGTTTTGGAACTATTGGCAACGGTACAAATACAGGCCGTTGCGGACGAGTTGCTGAGCCGAATTCCAGCGGTGGTTAATATGTTATTAAGTTATTTTTTCCGGTCGATTTTCCACCGAATCGTTGAATTAGTGACAAAAAAACAATGTAATTTGTCGCGCGTCGCCTAATAAAACAAACCGTTTTCGAAACGACATCTTGTTTTTGCCCGACACAATCTGTTTACTGACGACCACGGCCGCGGCCTAGTGACAGGACGGCTGCACAGTTATACAATATTGTTATGTGAATATGGACCGGACTAAAGTAGCAGTGTAGTTAAATATGGTTTAGGCACAACACAACGATTGCAACGCCAAAACTGTAAACGTTCTATTCTGCGTAAAGCCATGACGCATAGGGTTCGGTTCGATTGGATAAACTGCCGTAAAGCACACACGTTTCCCTCGAGAAGAAAAACGGGAACATTAATCGTTATCGAGTTAAACTTCTTACCAGATGTAATTCAATAACAAGAAGTTACCACCGAGTACATACTTGAAGAGTATAAAATTGTGATAAGCCACTTCAAGCCAATTTAACACGAGAAGCATTTTAAAGATTTCAAAATTACCTCGACTCCTCATTTCCTACACTCAGAATTAAAAGAATAACTCAATTTACTGTAATCAGTTATAAGATGTAAGTTAAATTTAACTGATGAAACTAGTCGGTGCAATGTTGTAAGAAAATCATAGAAAAAGTCACTTGAATCTTCTGTACAAAAAAATTTGAAGTTACCAATGCAAAAAAGTTACTTCGAATTAATTTAACCTAACCTGATTTACGGGATTCCAATGGCAATATAATAGATTGGACATGGTTAGGTTTGTTCAGATTCGGTACCTCTCGATTAATTGGTGTGTATGGTTAGGTTAGGTTTCAAATTTTTAATGCACACTAATCAAAATACTCTCAAAACACCGTCCGTGTAATATTTCTTAAGCATTAAATTTGTAACAAATTGTAAAAGAAACTGTTATAATATTAAATTAAATAAATTGTAATCTTGTCAATGTTAATTGTTACATTATTGCATAAAAGATTACAATAACTATTTAACTATGTGGTAAATTAAAATTGTTTAGTTTTATCAAAAATTAATTTACTAGATATGATGAATTTATTTCACTTACACGACGTATACTGAGTTTATCGTTTTTTTTAAGTTATAGATATAATACTTAGAATCTTTATTTCGCGTACAGAGAGTTCAATTTGAAATTTCCACGTCTGTTGTAATACTCTAATACGGACGACCCTTCCTAACAACTTGATTTATCTAAAACGGTGTCAAACCTGTGGACTAGAAAATCGATTGCAAAAAAACACAGGTTATATTGTCTCCAGAAACCTATCGGATTGGAAAAAACAACAACTACACTATGGCGGCGGCGAAAGGACAACGACGACGATTAACAGGCGCGAAGGCTGATTTCCGATATTTTAATCGCTTTACGATCACGTTTGAGGAAACAAGAAAAAAGTGTTTCCATGACTGAATTGATAATAAATATTCTAAGCTAGTTTGTGCTCAGTAGACGGTCGGTATGTCATGGCCGCGTGAATCAGTGTACAAAGAGACGTGAAACGAGTAGAATTAAAAACCGGCAATATCGATAAGCCCCGTACAAAACACGCTGGATAGTAATATTATACAATAATTAACTTTAAAACCATTAATCAAAACTAGTGTAGAGCTAATTAGATAACCAAGTCAAAAAATGTTTAATCGCAGCTTATTTTCACTTTACACCGGCGGACTGCAGTTTTTCATAGTTAATTTAAAATACTAAAAATCTGTTTTAATACATTTAAATAACAGTAACGAAAAGGAAATACAAATATTTTGTACCCCGGTTTGGACTTTAAACTCATTTTCAGTGTTTTGAATGGATTTTTTTTTTTGTATTTTGTTAAGACACACGTCGTTTCGAACTAAGACTACCGTGAACGGTTGTTGTCAATGTGTCTAAGAAAGCCAATCTCACACCAAACAACCATGTTGACAAAATAGGGACATCGCATAGGGTCCTTTCAAAAACTTTCAACAAAAAAAAAAACTGCCCGGAGTAAAGTTCCGTGGGAGACTAGCTTAAGCTGATAGCGGTGGAGAGGGAGGAGGCAAGTAAACCGAACGTGGGGTGTGCTGTACACTCACACTCTTTGTTCTTGTCCATAGACTTTTGCAACGGAGAATCGTCCACCTCGGCTGAAGGCGGAGACGGATGCGAAATACTGTTCTGCATGGTCAACGCGTTGGTGTGGCGGTGTTGCTGCTGCTGTTGCTGCTGGTGCTGCTGGCGGAACCACTCGGGGTAAATAGATGATATGGTGTCCACCAGGTCTTGGTCGAGCTGAATCTTCCAGAACAGCTCACCGCGGCCGCGATCTAATGGGTAAAAAATAATAAATTAAAATTAAATCAATAAAAATGTATACAATTTTTTTATACGTCATAAAATCGTCGAAGAGCAGTGCGGCGTCACACGAGTTAACGTGTGTCGTGTGCCATTGTGCGGTTTTTTTTTTTTAATTAATTGGGTTTCGTAATGAACTGGAGGAAGGTCGGACGTTACCGCAATACGCGTTTCAAGCACTGTCGAGCGAATTATGAAGATTTATATATGTATATAATAACAATTGTGTTATAAACCATTGTTGAGACCGATCACAGGTAAAAAAATACAACAGGTCAGGTGGGCGACCGGCGGCTATTCGCGACGCCCACGTGGCTGAGATTCGCCTACTCGGTTTTTACATAAATCCCATTAAAAAAGTTTTGTTGTTGATACACACACACACATAATTAAAATCGCCTGACGTTGGGCCGATGATCGAGCACCGGACGTGTCCGAGGTCTGGTCGAATTTCCGGCGCAAAACAATTTGCATTACTTATAGGTACGATCGAACACTTAAAAATGATCGACGGTAAAAAAAAAAACGATCGGTTAATTACTGTAGTGCCGACAAGTGTTTAAAAATCACGCGGATCCTTATGGAACGACAGACGGTGAGAGGAGAGAGCAAAGCGGAGGACAGCAGTAAGTGATAGACGGCATGCTAGCCTGCTAGAACGCTGCTGCTAGTCGGCGGTTGTGCAATATAAGTGTACACAATATGGCGTGTAAGGATACGCAATTGCCCAGATGGTCGAAATAAACAACTAGAATCGTGGATAATTGTATAATCGTTTTGCTATAACAAAACTCATTTGAACCGTTCAAACCGTCGTCAATAGCTCGGCCTGTGTACTAAGCACGTGGCCTTTTTTTTCAATCTAACCTAAACTAAACTTTTAAACTAAAACCTAACCTAACCTCCTGGCTATAATCTCTAAAACATAATCAATACCGACCTGACCTCTAGTTCGCTATCCAAACCTAGTTTCTCTGGTGAGAATATTCACCTTAAAAAAAGTAATGCTCAAACGTTATATTATAAAACCGATTTCTACCAAGATGGACATCGTATTGAAGGCATATCAAAACAACAAAATATGCATCGTGTTCCAGGTTGATCGTGATTTTTTTCATTACAAAGATAAGCAACTGTAATACATTAAAAATACGAGTCACAGGTTAAAAAATTATCCTAAAATCTTTCTATTTGCCATTTATGCTAATTTGCGAGCATGTTTTTAGATCTGTTTACTAACGATTTAGTATTCATGATGGAAAGTCTGAACAAAAATAAAAATAATTCTAAAATTTCAAAAATATTCCCGAGGTCATGCTCCAAAATATTATGCTCGAGCATTGTTAACAATAAATCTCCTCCTCGTGTTACCTGATGTTGGTGCAACTCTCCAACCAAACTTCAATCAACTTCTTAACCCAGGCATTCAACATATTCACCTTAACGTTCTCGTTTCACTTCTGTATTCTTATTTTCCTTTTATCATTTTTATTTTTAAATGCCGAAATTCATCACCATAATGTATTGCTGATGTCACTAAAATTGCAAACACATATTTTCCTTCCCCTTGCGGTACCTTTTTGTGTTTTTTTTCCACATCATGGACCCTTCATCAACTTCGTCCAACTACACTATATTCAATTTACCACACCCTTCTTCATTCCCCCGTTGTTATCATGCGTTACCCATACCAAATACTCGTAAATCTCTCTATTCTATTCAAGCCTAATCTAGTTGCATTACCTTAACTACAACAACATAATAATTATATTATATTACCGCAATATTGGTCATTCAGATTTTACTCGGAGCGACGCTTGTGTATCTGACATTTTAGTAAAAAAAAAAACCCCAATTCGAAAGTGCGACACATACGTTGACACAAAGTCAATATATTATTATTATTATATATATATATACATATATACACACACGGTGACAAACAAGGACGGTGGAATAATAATTACTATATTATACATGTATGTTTAATGCATCAATCGTATCTCTTCATCGTCTACATCGATATAAACATACGTCATGGTTTTTTTTTAATCGACCGATAAATTATTGTTGTCATGTTGTACAAGAAGTAAAAAAAAATTGCAATTTTTTTTCTCATTGTTAAGTAACACGCGCGGCGTCTAACGTTCGACTCTGGTGTTTTCACTCGGTGTTGTCACCAAGGTAAAAAGTCTCTGCTACTCTCGTTACACACACACACACACACACACAAAATTAATTATTATCGTCTTTTACAAACGATCGAATAATAATTAATTAAATTTGTATAATCATGCCCCCCCAAAAAAAAAAAATAAACCCTCTGACCATATTCTTTTACAAGCTAAGCCAAATGGAAATGGAAAGACCAAAAATTAAGACTAAAAGTCGTTTTCCAGAATTTCTTCCAGACGGATTTAAAAAAAAAAACCGTGTCATTCAGCTTGCTGTCCAACATATGGCAGATAGCAATCCATTTTGTTATAACATAGTAACTGTGGCATGGCACCCTGAAATTAACCTACGGTTATCGCAGGTTAGTATTAATCGTTGTTATTATAGTTTTGAAAAAGTTGTTATTATTATTGTGTCGGTGGTAAGTGTAGTTTCCCGTTCAAGAAGGGCCAAATAATAATATTATTATTATTATGAACGTGGGCGTCAACAGGTGTTGTGTCGATCCGTAGCCCACGCTCTCAAGGCGCCAAACGACATGTAACGAAAAGCCGGAAAACCCGTAGAGAAAGCTATTGAATTTTATATTTGTTTAATTTATAATTATTATAAATTATAACTCCGTTATGTAGTAGTAGCAGTTATAATAATTGGTGAAGTAGAAAACAAATTGCTAAAGTTTAACCCTTGCTTTATGACTGAAAAATTAAAAACATTGGAGTATCTCTCCACGACACTAAAAGACGTAGTATTACACTAGTACACAGCGCGGGATAAGGTAAGGAACATATTAGAGTTACACTCAACAAAATGATGTTACTCGATAACATTTCGAACAAATACTTATAACATTTTTACAAAATCTTTTAGATACAACTTGCACTAGAAGTTAACGTTTTCCATTATTTTTTGTAAAACGTTATGCAGCGGTCAAACAGGTTATGAGGTGGTTATTGGGAGCCACTAAAAAAAGTTGTCAGGTTAATTCCGACTGGTTGGGTCGAGTGTATATAACGTCTTAACAACCCTGTCTTCTGTGCCATTTGTCAGATGGCATTCTTAGAGTATTCGACTACGAGACTGGGGGGGTTAATAATATTAATATTAGAAATTTAGAAATGGCACAACGTGACGGGTTTTTTCGAAACACTTCTACACAACCAGCTGTAAAGAGCCGACTCCGATTATTATTACTATTTTATTGTGAGATAAATAGCCTTGCCCGGATGACAGACAACCAGACGAGGCCTTGGCGGCTGTGCCCGGTGAAAGCAGCTTCTCCTTACACGCGAAAAACAACGCACGACCGATAAACAATAACATTATTCATTATGTATATGAGCCCCGTGGTCGAACACCTGTTGGCGAAAAATGCCCAAAAACCCAAAGGAAACCGTCCACAGCCGGACTACACTAGTCAGCTGGTCGGTTTAAGCGATTTCTACAGTCAAGTTCCGATCGTAAAGTCAAGATTAACAGCTGTGTGCAGATTAACCCAAATCAAATCTAAGGCTCGTGACCATAAGGTGAGGGGGGAGAGTTAAACAGTATATATATTCGTTGAGGTTTGGTGGAAAATAATATATCAATACAAAACTTGTAGAATTTATACTCAGAAACTACTTTTGTATATTATACGTGGCTTTAAAACACTGACACGGCCATTTTAAGCCTTTCAAAGCACTTAAGTTGACCCTAAACAAATCGCTCTAACCGACCGTCGAAACTTTGAAAAGTGAAGTCCTTATAACGGTAAGTTGGCTTAAGGATATTTTTTAACTAAACGATAAACTCCTCGACGAGCGGCTCAGTGACAAAAAACAACGTTTCTTGGCTCTGTTTTCGATCACGAGCGATTTACCATCTTAACCTTTAAAGCCGGATGATAAAATAATATCCATATTTTTACCAATTCCTTTAGGTTTGTCACTAATAAAACATCTGGCTGTTCCCAGAACTCTTATGCCCTTTAAAAAGCGACGACCTTGGTCATATGGCATCCCTTCAAGTTAAATATTTTCACCTCTAAAACGCGCTACTATATTCTTAAAACTGCCTGATACAAAGTACACCATAAAACAAAGGAGATATATTTCAAAAAGTGTCATAATCCCCAGTAATATTTTTTTTTATTCTGTTCAAATCATGTGAGGGCTAAAAGGTTTTTGAATGGTATCAACTTCCCGAATATGCGTAGCTTTAAAAGGCTTAAACCTACCCTAACCTAGCCGACGAATCTGAACTGCAGTTAGGTTAAGTTAAGTGAGGTGTGGTGAAGCTAGGATTTCGCAAGATTTTTAACTAACAGATTGGGTTAGGTTAAGGTAGAATTGTGCGAACATTTTTAAACGAGTCTGAAATTTGATAAAATATAATTTTTTTTATTTATTGATAAGTTTAATAACTTAATTTTATCAAATACTATTTATATTGTGACGTTGAAGGTAATAATTATATTTAAAAAAATAAATATATGTTTTCTTTTTGCTCTCGTTTTTTAACACCGCTCACGGTGAGTTGATTAACTTGGCAAACTCTTGAGTCTTTTCAATGAGAAGTCAAATTCATTTTTTTTTTTGTTTTTAAACGTTTGGCCAGGTAAAATTTTAACGTTTCTTATTACATTAATTGTCTTTTGTATACACTGGGAATATTATGGCTAGCCAGGCTATTTAAAAATTGACGAAATTGTCCGTCCGCAAAGCGTATCTGCACGTTCGGTACATGCTGTGTGTTTTTAACATTTTCGCGGATTTTGGCAAAGTAACAAAAAAATGAATCCATTGGTTTATTGTAT